CAAGTGGTGGAGCACCCGGGCACTAGGGATTTCTTTATATCGTAGCCTATTGACCAAACCTGTCAAAACAAAACAAAAAAAAAAAAAAAAAAAAAAAAAAAAAAAAAAAACAATGTTGGGTGCTACTGATTTCAGTAGCACCTCAATAGTATTTGTTTTATCGCGTCGTGCAGGGTCGGAAGCCAAAATTTTGTGGCCTTTTAAGATATTGATCACTGAATATAACACAGTGACAGTGTAACGCTTTCTGTGGACTGTGTGCTGTGAGTATCATATTAGTCAACAAACAATAAAACTGATGTTCAACGTAATAGTCTCCTTCACGGTTAMCTGCGCCAACCGTAGACAACCGCTTATTGTACAATGATAAATACCTGTGAATAATTGTCTGTTGATGTGAAAGACGGTTTCTATCATTGCACGCTCAACGGTCGTATCGCTGTGATACAATGACGCGGCTAYCTTTCAATATGGCGCAGGGAACCGTGAAGAAGACTATTGAGCTTTAATTGAAAACCCWGGAGTTGGAATTGCTCATCTTCACTATTCTCTGCAAAAGTAATGWTTCTTCTGTAATGATGAAATTCAATTGAAATTTCTAATGCACTCTCTTAACAGATTTTTGAAGGGAATACCGATTRCACGTCTGTTGTCACTCATCCCCTTGCAGCACCAATCACCGCTCGATACGTACAGATAAGACCAGTCGAATATCACAATAGGATGTCTATGAGAACAGAGTTTTATGGATGCGTTCTTTCGGGTAATTAATGTGCCTAAATAACAATGAGTAAAAATAAATTTCCTGGGAAATTTATAGTAATGACAAGTACACATGTTTTGAAAACATTGAAATTGGAAGGAATGGTCGTGTTGTTCAGGAAATGTTTACTTAAAGGCACACGGTACACCAGCATTCCTTTCGCGCTTTTGCTTATGTTTGAAAATAATAATGTAATATAAGCATGCAAAAACTTACTCTTTATCATCCCTTTATAATGTATATGTATGGAGATATTGTAAGATTCGAACTTTAAACCGATGGATGGAAACGGATTGCGAATGGATCGTTCAAAGTCGCCTCATTTTCCATATATGAATTTGAAACACGACCGCATTGAATGCTGGTAGGTCGTKTCCTCTGACTATACCCTAACATTAATACCCATTATTTGCCCATCAAAATGTTGTTTAGCGAAAAATAACTGTTTAACATATATYTGTCATCATATGCAGACCGTTATCGAGTTTTGGGCCGCACTGTCCATATGGAATACGTTGAAGAACACCTTAGGACAGRCACAGGAAMATCAGCAAGCATCAGCTTTGCAGACACACAGGACCGTCCTAATAATATTGACCTTGAGGTTCTTGCTGATACTATTTATGTAAAGGTAACGCCAACTTTAATTGGACGTGTGGTCCCTTCTTAATTCACATCGCCTTCTTTGCAGAAGATGCGATTTTTATTTAAATTATCCATAATATCATTTAGACTGCTGTAAAGATGCGAGGCATCAAAAAACTGACAATGATCAGTCGTAAAGTGTCATTTCTTCAAGGAAGTAAGCTTGACCTCAGGGCTCCGGACATTCCGCAAAATAACCCCATACAAATTTCTGGTCAAGATGGTTTTGACGGAAATCATGGAGTGGACGGCCCAACAGGTGAGTAAAAGGAGTATTTATGAAAMGTACAATCAATTTCGACTCAAAAAGAATGAAAAAAATCAATATTATGTTGGTGTTGGGATTTGTCTATGTGRAAACGATTGTGTTTTTATTGTTGTTTATGATGTAGGTATTAGATATTTTCTTAGTTGCTGGTTATGTTGATGTTTTCTTTGGTGTTGCTTTTACTGTGTTGTAGGTTTTGTTTAGTTGTATAATTCTCTAGGTGGTCTTACTCTTTTGGTCATTATGATGTTATGTTATCAGTTGAAATCTACRCCAATACAGCCTCTGGTCTAATAAAAATTGAGTCAAGTGGTAGCAATGGAAACAGAGCTCAAAATGGTGCAAATGGAAATCCAGGGCAGAGTGGCATAAAAGAAGTATTTTAAAGAAATACATGATAAAATATTTAGCATTTATTAGTTGTATTCTATGCCCATCATGTGATCCATTTTTTTTACTTTTATTTGTATTGTTTTCCTTTTTTGATCTTCCCCGAAATATTCTCCATCAAGAAATTTATAGTTGTAATAATGTAGCGTTAATATKATTTCACAAAATGAAAATACGTCTTCAAGAACAACTTATCATTTGCAATTTTCCTTGGAAGATGATGCGAATATAAACAATTTCGCTATGAAAGGATATTGGCCTCATGCTCTCTCCTAATAAAAATTGAAGAAGTAAGAAATACCCCYCAAGAAAAACTAAATGAGCAAAAAAAAAGATGATGTTTATAATAATTATCATTTTTCCTTGCATAACCTCAGCAACCGAACGTTGATATAAATGACTGTCCTACGGTAGCTGTGAGGGATAGCAGTCATGCTGTCGTTCGTTGTCGCGACATAACTGGAGCTAAAGGCGAAAAAGGTGGTAAAGGAGAGAATGGAGGATATGCCGGGAGATCAGGTAAGTTGTGGAGAATGAATCAACCATTCACTCAGTTAYGCTATTGGCAATGCCTCTTTTCATAATATATATAGTTGTAGATAAATTTGGATTTATACACTGAATAGTCGTAGATTTATAATAGTTTTGTCAGTTAAATAGGACTGTATGTCAATTCCGAAAATAAATCATAAATGTTTCAGGTTTTATAAACGGAATCTGGCTGTGTACTGATTGGCAAAAGATTTGAGTTTGATATCGGAAAGATGGTCATTTCGAATTGTTTTAAGTTACTCGTTTATGATTAAAGTCTCTTGAATTTTTACGTTTTAGCTAATTTGCATAAAAAGTCAGAAATCGAATTTCAAGCCACAAGRAAGTCAASCCCATATTAAMTGAAAAGAGCTCATACCTGTTAGGCAATTCCTGAAAATTTGAAGGCAATTRGTTTAATCAAGCKYCGAATTTGCAAGATTTTCTTAAGAAACGACWGSGGTGGACATAATGTTGACAACAACTGAATGTTTTCYTAGATTTTGTAGTTTTGAAATGCCGATAATTCRAAATGTAAAAAGGCGTTWACCCTAATATTTTCAGGTTTTGTTGAWAGTAATATAATCTTTGCTTATGTGAGTTCAGATTGTTTATTTTTTGAATTTGATATTTTTGATGTAAACAARCTACGTCATTGTACGCTTCCTATTGATTTACAAAAAGGCAATGGCGGTAACGCCGGGCGGCAAACTATTCACATCAATCACCTTGGAAATATTGATCTCAAAACCTGCCGTGGGACCGGAGGAGAGGCACCTATAAATGGACGTGAMGGCYYAGGTACGGACACCAACTTTATATTTTCATTTTTCATCATCGAAGCCATATATTTCTGATTGGAGCAAAATGCTGTCACTCYGAATGTTTGAGGTTAAATGTTTGTCAACAAAAAATGTGTTGGCATACGTTGTCTTGAAGATAAATATGACACAAGATAACATCTTCTTTATCATAAATCGACTTAGGCGGACCAGGAGGTCCAGGAGGACTTGGCCTTTCGTGTGAGCTTTCTACGAAATGCCGATTGGGCTCCCCTATTACTATATTGCACTGTAAAGAGGATTGTCATAGATTAGGACAACCGAGAGGTCCACAAGGAGACAATGGTGACCCAGGTCAAAGAGGAAATGGTTGGTATTAATATTATTGAATAGCTGGCTTTAAAAAAAATTCTCACTGGCAAACCCAAAAAGAATGGTGTAAAATGCTTCGGGAAATTAAAAGAATATGCAATTCTTTTGTACATGTTCACTCAATCAGAATATCTACATTCGCCTATTACATGTAGTTAGTTTTGCTCAACTTGGGAGCCAGTTTACATTTTCATAACGTTGTTGGATATACATTTATTAGCTTTGCTTGTACCCGGGACAAATGGGCAAGTGGAACAGTCGTATCTCACAAAGCAAGGCCTTGGAACCAGCGGCCTCAGTAAATATCCATTGGATTTAATCGAAGTAATGACAAGATTCGGAGAGGATCGCATTTGGGCAAACGACGTCCACATGGCCGAGTCAGTACTCAATTTCGTCGTTACCTTGACACAAGGGAGAGAAGAWGCTGCAGCAATAAGAAAATGTAAGTTTTCTGCATAAAATAGCTGACCTTTATTTATACCTTAGCGCTAAAATACTGTAAGCTAAGTCTTTTATGTGTGATGATAGGAACATATAGGTGATGATGATGAATGAATGAATGAATAATGATAGCACGTTAATTGCGTCTTATTTCAACAATGACAACTATATTGGCCTTGATTATTAACATTTCATCTTTCAGTTGCCAAGCATAGGTTGGCCTTCTTGAACAAACCAGGGTTTGATCGATTTGGAAGGAACGTGCTCTTTGCTCCTTTGATGAAATGGCATGCTTTCAGAGATACAGTTGTACAAATTCGAGATTACGCCAGAGATTATGAAACTGCATACAATACAATTCAGGCATCGATAGAAAGACRTGAAACAACGAAACAAATTTTACAGGCGTTACCACARTCGGCTGAAATTCAAGTAAAAAATGAAAAGGAAAGGCTTATAGAAGCCAGGAGAGTTGCACTCACTGAGAAAAATGCTTATGTTCCTGTAAGTTTTTGTTTATTGTTCTGTTTAAGGATTATTATATTTTTCCCTTAAAGTCGTCCTTGTTTCTCTTGTTTTCTCCTTTTTTTCTTTTGTACACTCTTGGCAAGATTTTACTTCTGTCACAACGTGGTGCTTTTCGAAACGCAGCTATAAAAAAATAAACCTTGATATCTTTTGGTTTAACTTAATGCCACTATTATTGATTTTAGGCCATTAAAGAACTAGAAGCAAGCATGGAGAGCAATCTTGATGTGATTATTAGACAAATTCCCCAAGTGCACGAGTCAGCATCGTTTGACAGGCCCGACGTTTTTGCCATTCTGCAAGCTGTTACAGGATTTGCTAGCGCTGCTGCAGAAGGGGATGTATTWGCAGCARTTGATACTGCTATTGGATTAGCCGAGCATTATCTTACAAAGTGCAWCACCGGTACTTTGGAGGMGAACCTCGCTAAGGTGAAAAAATGGATGASTTTTGGTRARGCATACAGGGCACTTGAGGATTCCAGTGAACTGGATTTTGAMCAAATGGACGTAGRGGCCGTTCCAGAAGTSATGATGGTAATAAGTTATAATCATAATTGGGCATAATTTARTGATARTGGTATGYATAAATACCGTTTMTTTTRTTTATCTTTAAGGCTAAYCTTGARATGAACAARGAAAGTCTCGCAGCAGGCCTGACATGCATGCTTGAGGAACAAGCTCCAAKCAATGTGGCCCAATTYAAGGCACAGATGGAAAATTACTTCATACAAGGAGCTGCAAGGATTGATCTCATCGCAAAGGTCATCGATCTAGACAATGAGATCGGGGGATACAACTTTGACATTCCAAACTTGGAAGGGGCAGAGAATGAGCTTCTTTCTCTGCGCAGTATCGGTGGTGAGAATCCATAAAGGACGCGATAAGCGAAATAGTCACATCATCTAAATAATTATCGTTTATACTCTTTTCCAGCATCTCCGATTGAAGAGAACGTCGAGCAGAGGTTCCTTGACGATCTCCTGACAACCTATAAGCAAATGGAGACGAGTTTTTCTAAACAACTCTACTTGTTTTATAAAAGCTTTGATTTCCGTACACTATGGGATGAAACGGCCAGGTTGACTKCTTTTGAACGGACTGCAAGCGAGGCTGCTKCAGGCACTGGACAACTACAAGGTGTTGTGCAACTTAACAATGCTCTTCTGGAAATAGATGACCTCGAAAGCCGATCACGACAGTGTTTTACAAGATTCCYTKCCATTRATRATSCTGTTCATAAATGGTCATTTAATAATGTCAACGACCCAGTGGTATGTGTAAGATTTGATTTTGAAAAARATTATGGGTGCATTGATAAAGTGTGTTAGTGACCACTAGRTTTTTAATTTTTAGTTATTTCAAGACCTTCATCAAGGCAAAGCAAACTTACTTTTGGGACTCGAGGAGAGCTGTCCAACGTGCTACAATGTTCGTGTGTTAAAGGCAAGAATCAACTTACAAGTTGTGCAATGAGGAATACAAACTTCATAGACCAAATTATACGCCAATCACTTGTGAACTACATGGTTCAACTCATTCATCCATTTTCCATCCTTATCGCATTAATGCTGAGATGCGGTTATCTCAACGACTACCTATACTGCTATCGGATGGGGCTTTGCTCCGGGAGCAAGTTCCCTCGTGTGTATCACATCCATCCCAAAACATCGAAGACCGAACTGATTTTTGGCTTGATCCCTTTGAATTGATTTTATACTCTTTGAAACATATAGACCTTCCTATTTTCCCAGTATTCAATTTAACGAAAAGATACTAGGTTATCCATCAGAATCCAAAGGTGTATCGCAAAATTCGTTTGAGCTCGTTCTTAGAGATCAGTGTGCGGTATTTTTCATCTTCAGATTTACGTTGAGCTATTTGGAGACAACACACAAGAGGAGAACGGTTTACCTAGTATAGTCCATTTAAGAGTGAGGCACGGAGGTTCTTCATATTTCAAAGATGGAAATGGAAACATCAAACAGTTTCATCAGAAACTTGCAGACTCGTCTTGGCGAAAGATTACGTTCGACCGATTTTCGATAACTAATGAGGATAAATGTAGTACGGAAAGAGAGAAGGGAAACGGTTAGTATGGTGTTGTTTTATTGTTGTTTTGTTTTGTTTTTCTTTTTTTCATGATATTTTTTTTGTCTTTAAATACTGCTGTCCTTTGATGATTACTAGAAATACATAACGTTTAGTATATTATCATATTAGAAAGGTTTTTCCCTTC